CTAGCCTGAAGCATCGTCCAGGGGAGTTTTGTGTCTTCTGGTTCACAGCCTGGGAAATTAATTCCCCTCGGATCTTGTCCCCACAGAAGAATGGTGCTGCTTTAACCAAACTGGCTTAGAAATTTAGTTAAGCCCACACAAGACCTTCTGTTGCCCCTCAGTTTTGACTTTCTGAAGACTCGGCTTAGGGCATAATATGCCCAGACAGGAAAGCATTTATTCATAAACCAAAATTACAGCACCAATAGCTGCAGTCTGTGGTGAGGTCTTCTAACAACTGTGGGCAAGCTCCAGATTTACCTTGGTGTCTGTTCTTAGGCCTTGAAGATGTAAGGTCCAGACTGCAAACGTCTTTAATCAGGAAGCAATTAATTGCACAATTTTCCTCTTTGCAGCCAGCGTAGGTCTCATCCAGGTAACGCTCCCTGGGAGGCAGTGGCTCGTGCCTGTGTGCTACTTTTATTACTGTATGTCTCTGCTAATTAGTTCCTGTTGGATGGGAGGCTGGATTGCTACAGGGGCTTCAGATAAAAGGTACAACTGGTTAAGACAATCTAAAGATAGCTTTAAGAAGAAAAACAAATGCATTTTCCTAGCTCTTTTTAACAAGTTAATTCTGAAGAAAGCTCCCATTGCGTCTTGTGCTTTTGCTAGAAATCAGGACCAGGTCTGTGAAGGTTGTTCCTGTGCATCAATGTTGAGCATGCTGGACTGTTTTGGTTTTTTTTCTTCTTTTTCAGAGCATCTTGGTTCTTGTCCAGGACCAAACAGCTTGTTTGTTTCTTTTGCAAAGGATCATCCATGCAAAGTGATTTTGGTCCTTGTTCTTCCTCAAAAATGATGCTCAGCTTCAATATGAGGAGGGGTGGGTAGGTGTGTGGAAGGGCAGGGATGCTTAGGAGAGTTGGAGCTGTGCTGACAGTCCCTAGGGCAGCACAAATGCCATGCGTCACCAAACATGACAGTAAGGCTTTAGCTGCCCCTCTGCCCCCTACAGTTATCAGCACCACTTCCAGCCCTGCTAGCACTGCCTCTGACCTTACTCACTGTTTCATCTGCAAGCCCCACATCCTTCCTGTCCCACATGCTGGCTATAAACAGCAAACTCACTTTTTATGCTATTATTGTAATTTACTAGCAGAAACCTTCATCTCAGTACACCAAAAACATAGCTCTTCATGTCTGTTAGTTGTTCTTCCAAAGTTATAAATAACACGTTGGCCTGGTTTATGTGTTCATGCAAGTCAAGCTATAAACTGGCAGATGAAGGAAATTAACTGTCTCCAGAATTCACATTCCTGTCACTTATTCAATTATTTGATCAACATAATTGCTCAGAGCAAGAGCTAATTGGAAAATTACATGTATTTACCCTCTCTGTAGAAGAGGAAAGGCTTATCAGGTATTTTACTGCAGGCAGTTTCATTACTTCCCATATTCTGTTAGAAAGGAGGTTTTTAACAGAGCCAGGACAAAACATACATAGCTAGTTTGCTAGTCAGATGCTTTCTCACCCTCAAAACAGATCCAGTATTTTGTGGTGCAAGGGTTTTAACACGTCTGTACCACAGGTACTTTGGCACACGGGTGCGGGAGCTGTAAGCCAAGCTTGCCACCAGGAGCATGCAGCAGTAAACATGTCCCTGCTTCTGTATTTCTGTATTCACACTGGTGCTGCAGCCATGGTTTTTCCTATGACTGGGTCCCATCTCTGGGAGCAAATACAGAGATCATTGATCAGATGGAGTCAGCCAGGTGAGGGAAAGGCATACGGTGATTTGTTGGTTTTTCTTCTCTAGAAGACTAATTCTCCACCTTGCCAGTTTAAATCCTGCACCAATGCCACAGCTCAAGACACTGGTATCTTTGGAATGGTTTCTGTAATTCCTTGCCACACATGTGCACACACTTCATAATTAAATGAAATGCAATCTCAGTGCTGGATGGAGCAGAGGGGTGGGAATGGAAAGGACCAGGAAGCAGGAGACTCAAACCCTAAAGCAGTCCCTGTTTCCATTATTAGCTCTAGCATTGTTTGGGGTTGGAACATTTGATTTGTTTAAGCAACAAGACAGGCAAACACTTTTCCAGGCTGAACGGAGGGGGAGGAAGCCTATCTATCAATGCCAACAGTTTGCAACCTATTGTCTTCAGGCCCTGGGGGGACCTCTGGGTTATCTGTAGGGGAAAGGCAGTTAAGAAAATCAACCCTGTTGTCAGTTGCCTTGAATTCATGACAGATGGTTTACAACTCTGCTGGAAAATATCAGGCTCTGCCAATAAAAAAATGGATAAAAATTAAAGATCCATGGAATAACACATTTCTTTTTCTGCAGTGTGGTGCCTGAACAATCTGCTTGTAGAGTGCAGGGGCGACTTCCACACCTCTGCCCTGGGATGATTTCACCTCTGCCTTGGCATAATTTCCTCCTGCTCTTTGTGAGCAGGTTTGTTGTTGTTTTTTTTTTTTTTTTTTTTCCAAGCACCAGTTTTCGGCTGCCTAAAAAGCCCCCTGAAGTGGTTGACAGAGATGTGAAACTTGAGAGACGTGCTCGCCTGGTTCTCACCAGCTGTGCTGCTACCACTGCACAAGTGGCACAGAACAGCCATGGAAAACATGCTGTACTGCATGTACCAGTCCTAGGGGTTGGTCCTGTGTATATTTGATGAGAACTGGGTAATCACATGAGTAAGTTTTTAGTTCATCCTAGAGGAGATTAAGAAATTAGTACAGCACAGCCTGTTTGTAACTATATTGGGACATTTCTGATAATAGTGAAAGTGTACTATTTCTTTTTTCTTTTTCTTCTTTTTTTTTTTTTTTTCTTTTTTCTTTCTTTTTTCTTAATAGAAAACAAAAATAGGCAGTAAAGGGATAAGAAAGTAGCCCCACCACAGGTGGCTGGTGACAGTGCAGAGCTGTGCAGGTGTCCCAGCGGTCCCTGGGAAAGGAGAGCTGGAGCCACCGAGCTGCCTGTAGGCACAGGTTCGCTGTGCTGCCTTATTCAGGATGATCTGCAGTTGGGAAAAGGGGTGCAGAGGGCTCAGGCACCATTCCTACTCGCAGCACTGATTCTCACACAGCTGCAGGGAGCTGGAAATGAGGACGGTTTTGTCAGCCGTGAGTGACTCCAGCTAGTGGACAAATAGCCCCTGATTGTGCTACTCTGACCTCTAAGCTAATGGGATAAATCAGTAACCCGACGGCACCGCGGGACAGCTTGCACGGAAAATGCGCGCTCCTTTGTCTCCAAGTGTTGGCACAAAGGTGGGGAAAAAAAACCAAAAAACACAAGGATCCGTCAGCATCTTGCAAAACCGGGCCAAAGCAGGGGGCCGGCTGGCGGGAAGCGGCTATCGCGGGGCAGAAGGGGCGCGGCTCTGCAGGCAGCGGGTGCCGATCCCAGGCGCAGCGGGAGGCATCGGGGCAGCTCCCAGAGGAGCTCCGGCCCCACAGCCACCGGCACCGTGGCCGTACCGACAGCAGGGGGCGGCCGCCGCCACCGTAACCCTTCAGCCGCCTCGCCATCTCTCCAGCCTCGCATCCCTGCTTCCCCGTATCCTTCATCCTTACATCCCGAAATCCGCACACCCCCTTATCCTGCAGCACGCATCTCCCATCTCTGCTTTGCACCCCACATCCTGCATCCTGGCGTCCTGAGATAACTCTCACTCCGGCATCCTGTGTCCAGCCCCACACTGCTCAGCAGCCCTGCAGGCCAGCACTCAGCACCTCGCAGTCCAAGCTTCTCCACATCTTGGCCCAAGGCATGGAGTGCTGCTAGCAGTGCTGCTGCTTGGAGATCTGGGTTTATTATTATTAACCACTTTATTGTGGTTATTGCCCTCAGGAGCAATGATAACTGCAATCACAGAGGTGGCTGTCCCTGTAGTCAGGCTTGTTGCCTCAGGCCCTCTTACCAGCTCTGCTGGCAGAACTGGGAGCTCACTGAGATCTGGAAAACTCTTTCCAATGTGAGTTTGGTGTAGTCTGAGGAGACAGCTTTACAAAAGTGCACAATGCAGCAGAAGTTACTGGTGTATTGCTGGTCCCACCGTGATGCAGGACACAGCAGGGTTAAAAACAGTAATAGCAGCAGTGGCAGCCTCTGCATCGCCTTGGTCCCAGTGCTACAATCCAGGATTTCACTGGGAGCTTTGTCCCCGTTAAGAACATTCCCTCCCTGCGCGTGGTAATAGATACTTTTCTGCAAGATTTTAGCAGTAGAAATGAATACTGGAAACCTTGTGTTTTTGTTACACCAGGACATTCTTCCTGCGGACTATGAATTGACTTGATTGCATTTCTGCAACTGGAAAACTCAATAAATGTACATAGAAAAAAAAAAATAAAAAATGACTGTCCCTCCAGTTCTCAGCCTGCTCCTATCCATCTCCTTGTCCTGCTGGGCCCCACGCTGGCAGCTCCTCACAGGAGGCCCATGGCATGCTTGGTCTGAACAACCCACAGCAGAGCCCTGCTGTGCACTGAAGCCATGGCACCAGGTGCTGAGGCACTGGGAATGTTTTCTTGGTGTTTCCATGGCCTGCCTTAGCTGGAGCTTCACCCTGTTTTTTGCTTGGGCACAATTATCTGCTTGCTGTTTTCTGCAAATAGAAGGTACTTGAAATGGAAGAAATACCTCTAAGGTCACAAAAAGGAACTGAAAACTCAAACTGTGGAAAATGTTTGCAGGCAAACAACAAAAAAAGCAGTGGGAGTCAACTGAAACATTGCATTTCAATACTTTCACGCTGTTTTTTTTGTTCACTTGAAAGTAAAATTATTTAAATAGCAGGCATCATTTGAATAAAGAAAACACCATTATAAATGCCAGTAACATGAAAACACATTAGACATTCCTAATTTTTTCTTCATTACTTTTATTTGAGAAATATATTGGGCATGTTTTCCTTTGTGGTTCTCACCAGAAAGTCAACAGTTTGAAGGAATCAGCATTCCTCAATTAGAAAATATTTTACTGAAGACTCTTCTCCAGAAAAAGCTGGCAGCACTTAGCATTGTAAGTCTGGCAGGAAGCTTTTAGTTCCATATCGTGTTTTACTTTCACTGGGGTGACAGGGGTGCTTCCAAAATTAAGTTCAAAGATGCAGCAGTGGTGGTACTAAATACAAATTTCCCAATGCCTGTGCCTATCAGTGCAGGGGAGTTCAAACAGATACTTACAAAAAGGAGTTTAACTTATTCTTGTACCAAAGAGAACAATCAAAGCCCAGTGATACCTGAAGAGAAACTGGAGCCAGTGCGGTGCAGGCTTTCTCCCGTCTTACTTCTGTCTGCGCTGTCAGGAAGAAAGGTGCACACTGCGGAAATGGCCCAGTCCTCACGCCTCCTCAGTGAGTCAGAGTCAGCTTCTTGGGCCTTACAGACCTTAAGATGGGAGAGGAGGATTGTCTCGTGGCTGACCATAGGGACTGTGAGTCAGAAGATTTTGTTTACCTAAAACAAAAAAATTGCTCCTTTCATTTACTAGCAGATACATCTAAACAGCCTAAACGAGTTGCCACTAGAACATTTCAGTTGTAGCCATTTTAAAACTGAAGGGAGAAGAAAAAACAAGAAGTCCAATTGGCATTTGATCATTTCTGCAGCAACATCACATTCATCCATAACCAGGTGATATGAAAGGGACAAGCACCAAAGTAAATACCAGCGAAATCTTGATTTGGGTTTCAGGCCAACCAAACTCCTGCTGTTTCACTGGGAATGTTGATTAAAGACCTCCAGCTGTGACCCACAACAACCCAGCCAGGTTACTCCTGCCTCTTTGGGAAGCTTGAGTGAAATTGGAAAGTGGGATGCAGCCCCATCAAGTTTATCAGCTCTGAGCAGCCTGTTTATAGGCAGATAACCTGCAAGTACCTCCCTGTTTCACCTCAGATTCTTATGGGGGAATCAATAGGTCACCCATGTGCTGGTGGGAGATATTAAAGTCATTTGGCAACAAATGAAAAAGCAACTTGCTTTGGAACAATCCTTTAGAAATCAGTCATTCATTACATGCAGTTAATGATCAGTTTGTGGGTTAACAGCCAAACGTGAAGTTAAGGATGATTAAAGCTTAAAGCAAATTAACTGCTCGGTGACTGCGGCCAAAACAATGTTCTATTAATTTGTGGTGGTTACTTTTCTGGGTAGGCTCTCATGGAGGCTGACGAGTGATATTTTAATTTCTCAAGGCAATAGCACCATAGCAACAAATCTGCAAGAAGCCTGTCGGTTTGGTGCATGGAATCTATTCTGCTTAACGGGGCTTTGATCCCAAAGTGTATTTAGCACAGCCATTTTCCTATGGATGTGGTGAGAGAAGTGAAAGAGGTGCCTTGCTGAAGTAAGTCGACTTCTTATTGTCATCTGGTTTTTGAAGAACACGCTATAGGGAAGCACAGACCTTTTAAAGGGGAGCTCCAGTCAGCGGAGATGGGCCTTGAGTGTGAGGATGTTTACCCTTGGGTTAACAGTGAAGTAACCACGCATAGGTTTGCAGAATTCAGTCCCTATTTTGTATATATTAAGAAAGAAGAAGAAGAAAATAAAACACCCCACATTTTTACTTATTCACCTTTGAATTCCAGTTTCCCCAGCTGGGTTCCCAAGAGGGCATCACATCCTGTGCTTCAGGGACACACTGGTGATCTGCATGATGAGAAGAGGAGGCCAGGGAAGTGCACAGAGAAAGGAATGTTGAGCAGGTACACCTACTTCCATGCAAACAAATACTATGGTTAGAGAGAAGGAGTACTGGGCTTACCTAGCTTTCTGTCTGTCACCAGTGGAAATCACCACAGTGCCATTGACCTTGGCAGTCCTTCAATTGTTTTCCAAAAGTGTGGCTGGAAGAGAAACTATCAAGAAACACCAGCACATCTCTGCTCCCTAGAAATGCATGCAGCTTTACCCAGCCGTTCCTGACAACCCCATACGTCTCACTCCAGTGGAGATGCCATGGCCCCAAGAGGCAATTGCAATATGCAGCTGTCCTTACCATTAGGAAGTTTTTTCTGACAGCTGTATTGAGCTTCTCTTGCTGCACTTTAATCTCATTATTTCTTCCTTATTTACCTCCACGTGCTGTGGAGAATGGATTATCCCCCTTCTCTTTGGCATGGCAAAGCCAAATTGCGTGCAGCCCCCTCACTGCTCACAGCCCAGTGAGGGGCGGCCACCGTCCATCTCCTTGCTGCCTGATGGTCACCAATGTCCTGTTTGCCCCAAGCAGCCCACAGCGGCACTCCCCACACTTGTCCTTTTCTGCTGTGTATTTTTTATTCAGTACTGTCTTGCCATCTTTAACCCCTTGCTGGAGTTGTCTCTGGCTTTGAATCCTTCTCAAACTCTCATCCTTACCCCTTTGATGCATCTCATAGGATCAGCCCAAGCACCTTCCCCTTTCCTTCACACACATGTTGCTGTTTTGCTTTGCTCCAGGCTCCTGAAAGTACAGACTACACAAAGGCAGCTCCCAAAATATGGGTCTGCATCATCCGCATATGAGTATGTGGCCAGATCCACATTAATCGAGAAGAAAGATAACTGAGAGCACAGAAGGAAAAAGAGCTCTGTGTACAGTCAGTGCATAGAGCCAAACAGATATTTAATCCTGCATGGTATTTTTTTTTTCTTAATGGTTGCTCTGGACATTTTTGTTTTATCAGATGGGGAATGACACTTAAGACCTAGCTTATTTGTGCCTCTTGTCAATGGCTCTTTGTTCTCTTTTCTTTTTCGTTTCCTTATTTTTTCTCCCCAAACCTATAACCATCTCTTTGTTCCCCCTGGCAGACTAGCCTCTGGGATCTGCTGCTCTTACACCATTACTCACAACAGCAAGACCCATTGGGTCTGCATGCAGCCCAAGCCCCGCTCTGCAAATGCAACCCAAAAACAGCAGGCAGATACTAACGGTAGATTGGGCAAAATTTTGGGATGCTCAGGACAGTTCCCTGTGGTTTGGGTGCAATTCCAGATCTGCAGCAGCATAGGCTCGTTCCTCTGGGCTTTCAGGGGGGGAGAAAGCCTCCCCTGAACTGTCCAGGCTGATGAGCAGTGTTTTTGCTGCTGGGTCACCTGCCTCTTATTATCAAAAGAGTTTAAAAGCAAAAAAAAAAAAAAAAAAAAAAAAAAAAAAACTTGGCAAAATGAAAACTACTGACAAAGAAAAAATCCATCCAAGATGGGCCCCATCCACTCTTCTGATAATTAGATTTAATGAAAATAATAAAACTAGAAAGCAAAGCAGAAGTCAGTAAGATGGGCTGCTGGAGGAGCAGGAACTCTGAGAAATGGGGAGGTGGCTGTGGGGAGCATCATCTTGCGGAAAGCCTCAATCACCACATCCTGCCTCTCCCAGAGTCCTGTTTCACACACCATCAGAGCAAGTGGGTAATTACCACAGCTGTACCTTGTGCTGCTTGAGAGACTTTGCTTCCCAGGTTGTCTTTGGGATGCAGTGGAGATAGCAGGCAGCGTTCCTGCAGGAATGGCACTGTTAAATCCATACAAGCAAGCAGACGTCTGGGAGAACTTGTGGGTGATTCTGTCTGCTCACTGTCAATGAAAAGCAGTAACATTTTATAAAGCACTGCTTTATAAAAAGCACTTTTTTACTGCTGAAAAATCTTTTGGACTTTCTCCTCCTCCTCTCTAGGAAACACTTTGCTGCTATTCCTATTGACGTCAGCTGAAGATAAGAAACGTTTGTCCACAGTGCCTTGCTCAGAGTTCCATGTGCAGCTTATGTGCTGATTTGCCCTGTGTCACTGCTGAGGTTTCAATTTGCTTTCAAATGAAAGCTTTGGTGTCCTTGCTTGTCTTATCATACTGACACAGCTGGCAACCTATCCATCTCTTGCTCCCAGTGCCTTTACTGCAATTGGAAATCTTGAGTACGTTGTAGTGGTCTGCATTTACAGCTAACAGTGCCTGGTGTTCAAAGCCCCTAGGTCACTTCTGGGTGAGGACTCCTCTTCTCTGCTCTTGGAGCTGGGGAGCTGCAGCCTTTTGTTTGTTCTTCTTGCTCTGGCATTCTTTTTCAAAGGCATGGAGAACCTTAAAGCTGAGGAAGATGTAGCATTTAAGGTAAAGAGAGGAAGCTTGAAAGGAAAACACAGCTCACGTTGCAGCTGGCTTCCATATCTGATTGCACATACCTGTGGCAGCTGAGAGGCTGAAAGCAGCTGGATTTGGGCTGGGCACTGGGAGGCACCTGGGTGCTCCACCTATGAGCTCCACCTATGAGCAGCGGAGCAGGGCAGGCTTTGACTGTGGGGGTTATTGAGCTGTTTGCTTTGCACCTGGTGAATCCTGGTGTTTACTTTCCTGCCTTTGCTTTGCCACGCAGCATGGAGAACTGTGGCTCTTTCCATTGTGAGGCTGTGGAAGCCATCCCGTGGTGCACCTCTGGGTTGTAAGTAGGGCGGCTTATAGGAAAGTTTGCCCTATTCACTTCCAGTAAAACTGACGCTTGTGCTGTATTGTTCCAAGTATTTAATCCTCACTAACAAGATCCTAGCAACTGCTTTCAGAGAAGATCTTTAAAACTGGAAAAAGTCTTTTCAGCACTGCCCATGGGAATTGTCCAAGTTTGACACCAAGAGAAAGTGTCTGGCTCCAGAAGAGATAACACATGGAGCAACCATCGCTTCTTAGACTTTGCAAGCAACCAGCTTGTGAGTGCAGAAGGAACCAGTTAGGGCAGGAGGGTCTCTATGCCCCTTACCTCCCAGCCCTGCTGGCAGAGGCCTCCCAGGAGGAAGGTGCTGCCCCTCTTCTGAGATGTTGGTCCACACAGGATGTGCATGGCCCATCTTGGGATGCCCCAGCGTGCAGCACACTGCCAAAGCTTCCTCTTTTATACTTTTCTCTCCCCTCAGATGTTCAGTCTAGGGCTTGGAGTTAACTGCCTCATTCAAGATTGCCTCTGCAACTCCGAGGCTGAAACATCATGTTAAAAGCCCGTGTAAGCAGAAGCACAGTGACACTGCTCCATCCTTGCAGCACAGCTCCATCCCTGTGCCCCAGGCTGTGGGACAGCCCTGGGCCATGAGAAGCTCTAGGATGGGCAAATTGGAGACTGTCACACAGCACTCAGGACACTCAGTGTCTGCCAGTGGCTGTGGTCTGAGGGGGGTGAAAAGGATGTTAAAAGTGAGATAAAGGGATCACCTCCCACAGCGACTCCCCTGCAGAGGCACTGCAGATAGGAGGCTAGGGTTAATTTGTTTTCTGAATTAATTAGGAATTTGAGTGGCTTGAAGCAATTCTGCTTTGTTTAGTTTTGTTTTATTTTGCTTTCAGGTTGATTTCAGCAATCCATTTTGATTTTGAGCTCATATTAGTGCCTTCTCAATCAGAACTTAGCTGGAGGGGTGGGGGGATATTACTGTGTTAATAATGTGTGCTGGTTCCTGAACCTTTTCCCCACGTAGTGAAAACTTGCCTGAGGTTGATATTTTGAGTGACGACCATGTTCTCTAAAAAATCCCTGGCACATATATGGTATATATATATATATATACACATCAAATGAAGTTTATAATAAAAAGAACAGAATCTTGTGCTTCCCCAGCCCTTTTCTCTCCTGGCAGTCAAGAAGCAGCCTCAAAAGCACTCTTCTGGAGTCAGGGTAGGTCAGAGTTGTCCTTCACACAATCTCCCTTTGCTTCCCTGGCTTATTGCCCTCTTTTGCTCCCTCACACTTCCCCTTTCCCTCCTTTTCACCTCTCCAGCCAGTGACCAGCTCAGCATCATTGCCACGATCTCACTGTTTGGAAGAACATGGGGAGCATCAGAGATGGCCACTTTCCAGTTGTGGGTTCGCTGCTTTCACGACAAGTGGGACCCCGGTGACAGCCCCCTGGGGCAGTCTGTACCCTGCCCTGCACCAGCAGCACTGCATCACGTCATGCCCAGTGCCTTGCTCCGTGTCAGGCTTGTCAAGTTTCTGCAGGAAAAAAAAGAGAAAGCATTCATTCTACAAGGCCAGCACCCCATTCAGATTCTTTGTATCACAGGGAAAATGATAAGCCAGGATATAACAATGACCTACTTCACATTTTGATAAAATAATTTCCTCATTCTGTCATTTTCCTCAAAGAATGGTATTTGACTAACACGAGCACGTAAGATAGAGAGAGAGCTGATAATGGACAAACAGCAGCACCCTAGTGACCTGCATGGAACTAAGATTTGTTATCCCACAGCTCAGCTCTGAAAACAGCTGTATTCCAACCTGCAAGATGGGTGCATGCAGTAGGGCTGGGCTGACAGCTTGGGGACAGCAGATGTTGCTTAGAGCATCTTTCACGCAGGGTGGCACCGCTGTTGGTGCTGCCCCGGCTTGCTGCTATGGTGCGGGTGGGCACAACAATGGCTTAGATCATCCTCTCATACAAAGGGCTACTGTAGCTGGCAGGGCACATTACAGTACAGCACAGCCATGCAGCTCCCAGGCTGCTCCTGCCCTCCCAGTACAGAACAATGTGGACAGTTGTAGTTATCTCACCAAACCCCACTCGGCTCAATGCATTTGGCCACCGAAGGTGTTCAAAAATGCACACATGGCATTTTTCACTTGCAGTGTTCGCAATGAAGAGCTTTCCAGCATCATCTTTCAACGCCGTTCAAACTGATGTTTAGCTGGTACGGAGCATTCACCCCTCACCTCCCACCTACAGGAGCTTGTGCAACTGTGCTCTTAATGAGTTCTCATCACTGCACTGATATAGGACATGGATTTACTATTTGTCATCACAGATAGGATATAGCATTGCTCAGACATCCTCGTGCCCACAACCAGGTTAGATTGCATCCTTGTGCCAGCGGTTGTGGCTTGCTGCTCACCCTCAGGTTGTGCATCATCCAACATGGGCACAGACACTGCATGGCCTTGACACGTGGGCACAGGCTGCCCAGGGAAGTTCTGGAGTCTCCGTCCCTGGAGGTGTTACAGAAACATGTGGGCACTGAGCGACATGGTCAGTGGCCGTGGTGGGGATGGGCAGTTGGACCAGGTGGTCTTAGTGATTTTTCCAGATTCTGCTACAATTCATTTGATGACACACTACCTGAAGTGACCCAAGCTGCAGAGCTTACCACGCCTTCCAGCATCACGTACCACTTCACAGCACCAACAACGTGCATCGTTTGTGGGATGCTGAGACAAAATACAGCTAGGACGTAATTAGAGTTCTCCTTTTCTCAAAACTGTTTTGAATGGAAGTGAGTGAGTTGGGAGCCCAGGCTGCAGTCGTGGCTCTGCCCTGCACAGTGCAGCACACAGCAGGTGCACCAGGCACACGACAGCCCTCTGCTGCATACAGCTATGGAGGGAGAAGTAACAGCAGATACCATCCCTTACCATGCATACAGGGTGCTTTCCTTTCCAGCAAGGCTGAGCCGCACTGGCTCTATCCGACACGACTGCCTCCGTGCCGCGAAGATACTGCTAAAGCAGTACAGCCCTGGGAGGTACTCAGGCTATAATTAAACTAAATTAAAACAGAACGCTTTTGATCTAACCCGGGCACCCCCATAAGGACTAGCAGCAGCAGTATAACGCAAGGTACGCACTGAGCCATGCCTGCTATTGCAGCACACGGGCTCGGTCTGCGCCCTCAAGGCGGCGCCACCAGCGGAGCGCGGGCGGCCCCGACGGTGCAGGCGGTGCGCCCCATCCGCTCCAGCCAATGGCGGCGCCCGACGGGGAGGGCGGCCCAATCGGGAGCACGGTTGCCGGGCGGCGCCACGCCCCTGCCCAGCGGCCGCAGCCGTCGGGCGGGCGGAGCGGGTGCTATGGCGCCGCCTGCCGGGCCGGGTCGGGCCGCGCCGGGCGGCTCCTCCCCACTCCGCGCTATGTCACGCGGCGGCGCGGGGCTGGCGTTTAGGACTCCGTAGCGCGGGGCGAGGCGAGCGCGGCGTAGCACAGCGCAGCTCAGCAAAGCGCAGCACACCCAGCCGGGCTCTCGTTGCCCGCACCGTTCCGGA